AACATCAATTATTAACACCACGCTTGATGCATTCTTCACACCTTTTGTTACTTTCCTTTCAGGTGTTGCATCATTCATATTCTCCACATAAGAATTATGCGAATCTTTTTAGGTATCAAAGACGTGGAATCGACACCTCCTCCAGTTGTTTCCTTGACAGATGGTGGTTGTTACGTTTTCTCAAGTATATAAACAGTATATAAACAAGGAGAAATAACAAGAGACCAAATCAAATATGGCGGATCCGAGTCGTCTTTATTTACCCACGTGTTACACAGGTAATCCAAAACATAAGAACATTACAGTGGTCATACCGAGAATTTGGGTTTACTTCCTTTGTTCAAGCTTCGTTTGAAACGCATTGTGGTCGTTAATGGAGGCACATCGAGTAAAGGTGGCAATTATGCCACTGACCTTCTGGAAGCCTTACGGCAAGCCCGAGAAAAACTACGATGTTCTTTTATAGCAATCAGTGGTCGGGACATTGTTGAGGATATTCGTGATCACTTCGTAGAAACAGAAAAGGGAAAAAAGCCAAGAAGTTATCGATTTAAAGTGCAGAATTGTGAAAAAGACGATTTTGAACCTAAGCTTGTTGGTGAAGGAGATGTTTTGATGTTAATGCCAAGACACCCAGACGATGGAATGAGTCAATTCCAAGATTACAAATGGAGCGATTTTGATGGTGACGTCAAACTAGACTTGGACGAGTCCCTTTGGGGTCCAGGACCAGCACTGAAGACCTCTGAAGTTGATCGTCTATCAGGTTGCTGCTGTGAATGCTGTCACTCGAAGCCATTCAATTACATTCTGAATTTTTTGATGACTGGATTTCCTTTCCATTCAACTGTCAACCAAATGCTTACATCCAGTCAGTATACTGCCTACCACAGAGAAGGCTATCACGCATGCGTAGAAGCTGAAGCAGACAAATTTCTTGGAAAATATCAATGTGATGAGGTCATTACCACCCAACCACAAGGCTTCCATGACTTCAACATATCACAAGGCACACTAGCACCCACAGTTATAAATGTTCGCAAATCTGTTGAGTGTCTAATTACAAGACAGGAAAAGTGAAAATGATATGACCACATTTTGATGTACTTAAGAAATACATTTTTAATTTGTGATTTTTATAATGTGAGGCATTTGCAGTGACTGAAGCAGGAGTTTCTGCAAGGAGTGCCAGAGTAGGTCACCAGAGGAGGTGGTGAACTCAACAAAAAKGCTGTGTCCATGCCTTGTACACAGCCAAAAATACCACTTTTTTATTCAAAAACATGTAATCACTGGATAAAAGAAGACTTTTTGCATAGGGAACAGTATTGCACCATTAACAATCTGTTAAACATGGTAGATGACATACCATTCAGTATATTAGACTGGCAAACATTGTATCTGACAAACTCTTATTTATACGTAATAATCAGCCAATAACATCGTGAATTATATACCAAATGTACATTATAGAATTTGGTTTTAAAACTAGTTTTCTATTATATGTATATTATTTATGATCCTAACTAACAATTATTCTATCAAGTTGAGTGGACTATGAGTTGATAGTCCATGAGGCTGTACTCGGCAGGCTAAAATTTCGTTTCCTTCAATGCGACCATGAATAGACCACAGTTCAGGAACCAATCAGAATGCTTGCTTTGTAATATATCATAGTTTGGTGATATGCATAATAGTAGATAAAGTGCGTGCACAAGTCTTTTAATATTCCTTCATTTAAGAAACTGAAACTCTGATATAAACATGATAGCTGATAATGAGGTA